CAGTTCGCTCTAGGAGGTCTTCACAACACACGTACCACCGTGCGTGTGCCTTCTCGTATACTTCCAAGCACTGCCGGCCTGATCAACCGACCAGCCACCTCCCCCGACTCTTGGGCGTAACCAAGGCCTTCGCAACCGAACCGATATCTGTGAAATGTTCCATGTGCTGTGTAAGTTGGTATGTATGATTTGATTTTTTCCTGTTGTATAAGCTTAGTGTTGTAGTTGTTTTTGGGTAGTACATAAGAGTTTGTAGTTATCACTGTTATTTAATTACTGTAGCTGGATAGTTTAAGATTAGAGTCTATTCCCCTTGCCATTCCCATCCTTATATCTCTGACACGTTTTACTAGAAGCCATAGAATAAATAATACAAATAATAGTAAGTCTAATAATACTGTAAATTCATTATTAACACAGTCTATTAAAAATCTTAGAATAAATACTATAAATTCACCACTGTCATAAGTAAATAATTTTTATTTGATAAAACGGTCCACCTGGTTCTTGTCCTTCCCCCCTTGGGTATTTATCATCAGACCTGTGATTCTCGTGACACAGGGCAGGCACCAAGGGGCAGAAAGAGACACAGCGGGCAAAAGACTATGTAGTTCAGTGGTCACCAGCCAGATGATCGGGATCTACTGGTAGATCTTTGAGCCTCTCACTGGTGATCCTGACTGGTTTGGCCAATAGGCAATCAAGTGCTAGCACTTCAGCTGCCCCCTCCCCCCACCACTGTTCCTCTCCTGCCCTTTGCCTTGGAGCCTCCTGCTTTCTGTGCAGGGCAGGGGAGGGAGAGGAGGGGCGCTGATGTCAAGGTGCCCCTTCCACTACAAAGTAGAAAGGGGGCACAACAGGGCTTGGGATGGAGTTTTCTGGCTGCTTGTGGGAGCGGTGCAGGGCCATGGCAGGGGTGAGCCAGCCTTAGCCCCACTGCACCACCACCCAGGGGCCACCTGAGGTAAGCAGGGCCCAGCCAGAGCCCACATCCAAACTCTTGCCCCAGTCATGAACCCCTTTCTGTACCCCAAGCCCCTGCCACAGCCCTGAGCACCCCTGCCATCCAAACCATCTCAGAACCTGCACCTAGAACTCCCTCCTACATCCGAACTGCCTGTCCCAAGAGCAGCTCAGAGCCCCTCTCACGCGCCAGAACCCTTAATCCAAGACCAGAGCCTGTGCCCCAGCCCTCTGCCCCCAGCCTGATGAAAGTGAGGGAGGATGGGCAAGAGAGGGAAGATGGACTAAGCTGGGGCAGGGCCTGAGACAGGGCAGGAAAGGAGGTGGGGAAAGTATTTATATTTGAAGTAGATCTTGGATTGCACTTAAATTCAAAAAGTGATCTCATGATTAAAAAGGACCACCAATATAGTTGCACTAACACAAGAGACTAAAAGTTTTTGAGATCTGGCTCCAGAACTTATAGGGAATCAGAGAAGCCCAAACATACCTTTGGACCAGGTTGAGCTAGAGCCACCACCAAGAGTACTGTACCATAGGGACACGAGGGGCCAAGGGATGAGAGAGCCCCATGCTTCTTTGCCTCCAGCTGGGTGACTTGGCATTGTTTCCTTGCTGGTTGCAGGATGCTAGTGGGAAGCCAAGAAAGAGAGCAGGCAGCAGCCAACATGCAGTGCTGGGTGGGAGTGAAAGTCACATCTGAGAGCCTAGCAAAGACCCAGGTGGATGGACAGGGCAACTCAAACATCACCCAGGCCAGCAGCAGACAGAGCCAAGCCCCCATCTTGCAGGTACAGCTATCAAGGGTGGGTATTCTCTTATACCCAGGGTCTGTTCCTACCTGACCCAAGCAATTCACTTCAGGGTGGGGTGAACCCTGGGCCAGAGACCAAAGCAGCCCTGTGGGAAGGGGCAATTGCAAAGGAGGCTAAGGAAGAGCAGGTGTGCAGATCAATGCAGAGTAGCTGGAGTCCCAGATGAGCACTAGGGACTGGGGTTGGCATCATGTCACTCCAAACACATCCAGCCCTTGCTGCAGCCAGGACATTAGGAGGAAGTGAGGGCTACTGTTTAGGGCCTAGGGACCTAGTGCCTGGGGGAGGGGGAGGTCTAGCGGTTATAGCAGGGAGTTTGGAAGCTGGACTCTTGGGTAACATTAGGTGTTATGGCCCCTCGTTGCCTCAGTTTCCCTTGCCACCAGACACACAAGGATAGTCTCCATCCATGAGTCTGCCACCATAGACACACAAGGACAGTCTCCAACCCTAAGTACAACTCCGGGTAGGGTGGGGTGGACTTGATCTTAGTCAAGGGGTTCTGTCCAGTGACTGCACCTCTGGGACCTTCCATCTGGGTTGTGTGTATCTGCAAAAGCTCATTGGCTGCGACTACACTGGCATGATTTTGCACAAATACTTTTAACGGAAAAGTGTTTCTGTTAAAAGTATTTGCACAAGAGAACATCTACACTGGCATGTGCTTTTACGCAAAAGATGTGCTTTTGCGCAAACGCATCCATGCCAGTGTAGACACTCTGTTGCGCAAGAAAGCTCCGATGGCCATTTTAGCCATCGGGCTTTCTTGTGCAAGAAAGTAACGTTGCCTGTCTACACTGGCCTCTTGCGCAAGTAAGAGGGCTTATCCCTGAGCGGGAGCGTCAGTGTATTTGTGCAAGAAGCACTGATTTTGTACATTACAACGTCAGTGTTCTTGCACAAATACTCGCGGCCAGTGTAGACAGGTGGCAAGATCTTGCCAATGTAGACACAGCCATTGTGTTCTCTGGGACTTCTTCCATTCCTCCTCTACACCTGCACTGACTCTGGATACCTCTATTTCAGGGTCTCCTGTCCCCCTTATCCTTCTGGGCTGTCACCTTATTGGGGTGTGTAGGGAGGGTAGCTGCAGATATGCCAGCCAGCGTCTCCTGCCCCTGGCCACAAGTTCTCTTGGCTCCAGCTGATCACCATGGAACTCCATGAACCATCTGGCTCACTAAGAGGCTTGTGTGTCTGAAGAAAAGCCTGGTGCAGGGAGGGGAGCTGCCTCTTCTGCTCTCAGCTGCTGCCCCCCCTCCCTCCAGACAGAGACAGGGTCAGTTTTGTTCTGCCCCTAGAAATTCGGAGTGAAATGGACACACATAGGCCAGCACCGAGGGAGGAGGAGCACAGAGGGAAGTAGTAGTACAGGGAGGCAGCCTGCAGGAGGGGGACAGGAGCAGTCCGAGACCAAAGCTCCCCTTTATTACATTTTTTAATACTTTTTCACTGTGGCTGTAGCTCATTTCATGGCTTTGCTGCACAACCTGCACTTGTGAGTTATCCTCACTCACTGGGAGAGGATTCCTTCCCTTTTTGTCACTGTGAACACAACTTGCACTCCCAGTCCAGTGCCCCCAAAACCAGTCCCCTAAATCTGGCCTGGGAGTGGGGGAGGAGAGAGATGTGGGAACTGGATGAAGGAAACATTGGGCAGGGTGGTGAAGAGGCTGGGAGAGTATGCGGGATCCCCTGAAATAAAGGGTGGATGGGAGAGGGAGTAAGCTTGGGGGGGGCTTGGTGCTGAGATGCAGCCACCTCTGGGGTGAGGTGGCTGGCAACACAGGGACCCCTCACCAAGTGCACGGTCTGGAAAGACTGAGAGCCACTGAATCAGGTCTCTGAAACAGACAACTCCTCTCCTGCAAAGGGCAGTGTGTACACACTCTGATCTCCCCTCTAGGGGAACTCCATCCCAACCCCCAGGGGTCACCCCAAAGACAGATCTCTCCAGTAGGGGGCAGTACCCATACACATTTCCAAAACACACCATTCCTTTATTTCTGTACAAAAGAAGGGGAGGATCCACACAAATCCCAGACATACACAGACAATTCATTAAAAACCCCTAACAAGCAGAAGCACTTTTAAATAAAGGCACTGGCCATTTTCTGTGAACCCTACCTCCCCTCTAGCCATGGTCCTCCTCCCACTCCCCAAAAAACCCTTTTCACCACAGTGATTGGGGGATTTTAATGACAGAGTGTAAGATTTATGGGAGGGGTCCCCTCTTGAAAGAGAGCGGGGCAATTCTATGGGGCTGCTAATAAGATGAGGTTCATCCTGGCTACTGAAAAACCTCCATGCTGGTTTCTCCAACGTATGGTAAAATGGTCACCCATTAATAGGCCATCAGAAAATCTCCCAGGCTGTGTCTACACTGGCATGAATTTCCAGAAATGCTTAAAACAGAATACTATTCCGTTTTCAGCTTTTCCGGAAAAGGAGCATCTACATTGGCAGGCTGCTTTTCCGGAAAAGCCCTTTTTCCGGAAAAGCGTCTGTGGCCAATGTAGACGCGCTTTTCCGGAAAAGAGCCCCGATCGCCATTTTCGCAATCAGGGCTTTTTTCCGGAAAAGACTACTGGGCTGTCTACACTGGCCCTTTTCCGGAACAGTGTTCCGGAACAAGGACTTATGCCCAAGCGGGAGCAGAATAGTTTTTCCGGAATAGCGGCTGATTTTGTACAGTAGAGCATCATTGCTTTTCCGGAAATTCAAGGGCCAGTGTAGACAGCTCGCAGCTTATTCCAGAAAAGCGGCTGATTTTCCGGAATAAGTGGCCCAGTGTAGACACAGCCCCAGTGTCTAAGGGGATGTAGGTTCAAAAATTGTGGGCCTTTTGCTACAATACACTCTGGCTATGTCTACACAGCAGGTTACTTCAGAATAACTGATGATATTCTGAAATAACAAAGTCCGCGTCTACACAATAAGCAGTTAATTTGACATAATGTCCAGCCGGAGGGCTTCTTACTCCAACTCCTGTAACCCTCATTTTATGAGGAGTAAGGGAAGTCAGGAAAAGAGTGCGCAATCTCAAAATAACTGCTAGGTAGACAGTGTCAAAGTTGAAATAAGCTATTTCTCCTTAAGCTATGCATGGACATGCCCTTCCAAAATAAATGCACCGGGGGTAGATCCTATTTTGAGATGCTCTTAAAATCCCAATCCAAAGACACACCAAACAAAATTTAGGGGGACATCCTTATTCAGTTCTCCCTTCCCCAAGTACACAGCCCCCCCACTTTGCACTCCCAAAATGTGGGAAGGTAAAAAACAATCTCACTGGGCAAGAAAGCTGTTAAAAACATCTGTACAGAGTTTAGGGGTACCCCTATATTCCTAGCTTGGGAGACCCCCTCATCCCATAATGCAAGGAGTTAACATGTCCTGGGCTCCAGGACATAGAAGGCAGAAAGGAATGTGGGGCCAACAGCTGGCTTCAGATCAGGGTGCTAGACGTATTCCTTGTTTGTAGGGGTCCGAGAGGTTGCTTTGCTCTTGGGGTACTGCTTGTTGTACCCTGATTTCCCGGGGCAGGAACAGGAGAGCAGGCCCCCACCCAGCAGCACCAGGGCAGATCCAGCCCAGCCAATAAAGATCGCAGATCCAAATTCATACCTGCAAAACAGAGTTGGGGAGTAGACTGATCAGTTGTAGGCCTGCCCCTTTCCGACATAGCCCCACCCTGTTCTGTAAAGCCCCACCTCTTTCCACTTAGCCATCCCCCTTACCCCTCTAATCAGGAAACCTTAAAGACAGGCTTCTCTGGGGTGGGGGGCAGCTGTTTACACAGAGATCCCTCGCTTGGTACTGATATGCAGCTACTTGGCGGGGGGAGGGCGCTACTTAACAACTACACAGCAAAACCACATAGGAACTTGGGACCAGAGGATGAGGAATATCCCAAAGTATCCAGTAAAAACTACAGAAGGACTGAGCCTGGGAATTCCATATGCCATCCCTGGAGACTTCCCTGAATACTGGGGCACATACCAGGAAGCAGGGACATGGTGGGGTGGGAGGTCTGAGTTCAATGATCTGGCTTGATTTACCCCAGTAGCCTTACAGCCCACTGGAGCCAGCCCTGCTGCCAGGGGAGAATGCCCCCTGCTGAGCCCCTACCCCACCATACCCTCTAGGCAGGGGCCTTCTCCCACATGTGGCCCAACTCACTTGGTGTTTATAGGCACCGTGATGTCATAGAAATCTCGGACGATCTGGTTTCCGTACCAGGAACAGGCGATCAGCGCTGCTAAACCTGGGCAGGAGAGAAACAGGCTTCCAAATGCCACCCAGCTCCGTATTCAGTGGTCCCAACCTTTTTGTGTGGCAGGCGCCGCACCGATGGGTTATGTCATCCTGCTGCGTCGGCCGGCCGGCCCTGTGCCAACTGTGCCTGCACCAGACCCCCCCACCACGGCCATTTCGACGCTCCGGACCAGCCGCCCTGCTCCTCCGGCTTCCCCGCTATGCTCCCCAGCAGGTTCTCCTGCTGCCGGTGCTGCCTCACGTCCCATCACATGAGTTCGGCCCTGCAGTGTGTGCAGCCCGTCCTCCCCCGGCCATCCCACATCGCAAACCCATGGGCACCGCATTGGGGACCACTGATATAGATCATGAATTACCCAGGTCTTAGCTAGCAGCTACAGGAACGGGAGGAGGACCCTAGAACAAGCTGCCCACACCCAGTCCCTTCCCCGACTTACCTCCCACCACAAAGATGATCCCTCCGGTCATGGCGATGCGTGCCTTTTGGACCTTGTTGTCTCCCCCACAGCGGGTGCATTTCATGCCCATAGTGGCAACGCCCATGCCAACAATGCACAGCACAATGGAGACAACCATGAGCGCCCGTGTGGCCTGGAGAGCAGCTGTAGCAGGGAGAAAAACTGGGTCAGCAGCAGCGTTCCCTGTAAGCTGGGGGCTTGGGTGGCCACCAGGGAGAGATTCCAGTGCCACCCAGCTGGTTAGCGCAGCACCCACCAGTGGTGTAGCCAGAAGGGCCCATTTGGGTGGGCCCTGACTTCAGGTGGGTGAGCAAAACGGGGGGGAGGGAGAGGCAGAGGCAGAGGAAGTGGGTAAGGAGCGATGAGGAATTCAAAGCCCTGCTCCCTGTCCAGAGTGCGGGGCTGAGTGGGGCAAACCCAGCCCCTTTCCCTGGCTAGTTCACTGGGCAAGCTGGAGAGTGGGGGGCCTAAGTGAAAAGTGAGTGGGCCTTGGCCTACTCAAACAAACCTATGACTATGACCCTGGGACCCACAGGTAAAGTTTTGTTTCTAGTGGTGGTGCACACCCGCACATGCATTGCAGCATATAAAATTTATTGGCCACATAGATGGAAAACGTTAGAGGGAACATTGGTCAGGGTACTGGGTCTTCCCCCTAGTGTTGAGTGAGCCAGGATTCCTGGCTCTCAGTCCCCCTCCCCCCCGTCATCCTCTGCTCTAACTTACCAGCCCCTACTCCCCTCCCAGAACCAGGGAGAGAACCCAGGAATCCTGGCTCCAAGCCCCGACCCCCCCGCCCCGCCCCGCCCTTCTCACGACACCCCACTAACCACTAGACCCCACTCTCCTCCTATCCCCAGCTCTGCAGCCCTGGAATCAGTAATGGATTATAAAATAGAAAAAAAGCATAGGCATAAATGGCCAGTTTTCCCACTGGCAAGAGGTCACTAGAGGGGTTCTCTGGGGACTACACTGGCACTAGGGCTGTGTAACATGTTCATCCACTACCTGCTCAGAGGAACGTGCCGAGGTGGCAAAGTTTAAAGACACAAAATTACTCAGGCTAGTTAAAGACACTAATTACTCAGCTCGCAACAGCCTGAAGCAAAGAGAAAGGCTCTCACAAAACCAGGTGAGTGGCCCACAAAATGGTGGAGGCAATCCAGCACCAGCCAATGCAAAATCATGCATATTAGACAACATAATCCCAACAAAGACATAGAAAGGCAGGGCTAATTTAGCTGTGTCTGCCCAGGAAAGATCTCTGCATTCACTGTGGATGGTTCTCTGCAAACATCCACTCAATGTGCAGCAGCAGTGAAAAAAGGGTTGGGAGCCATTAAGGAACAAAGGGTATGTCTACACTACCACCCTAGTTCGAACCAGGGTGGTTAATATAGTCAAGCGAAGTTGCAAATGAAACCCGGGATTTAAATATCCCGGGCTTCATTTGCATCTTGCCAGGTGCCGCTATTTTTAAATCCCCGGTAGTTTGGACTCCGTGCCCGCGGCTACACGCGGCACAGAGTAGGTAGTTCGAATTAGGCTTTCTAATTTGAACTATCATTACTCCTCGTGGTCCTGCTTTGGGCAGAGGGTTGGCCTCGATGGCCTCTCCAGGTCTCTTCCAGTCCTATGCTTCTATGGTGTGCCAGGAAAACAGAATGTGCCTGCCGTGGGACTGCTTCTCAAAACCACACAGAAAAAAGATGGAATCACCAAAGCAAGTACAGTCCTCAAAACTGACATAACTGAGCAAATGTTGAAAGACTGAACCAAGATGAGCGAGAAAAATAGGATGATCCTGGAATATGATTGCTTCCCAATAAACCTTCCAGAAAAGAGATAAAATGGAGAAATGTGACGTAGTGCTTTATTTTGGCATAGCTAAATCAATGCTTAAGGTTAGACAACTAGAAAATGTTATTGGAAACCAAACTGACTATAACACTTTTTTATTAAAACACATCTAATGATATCAGTTTATAGGGATGAAGAAAAAACACATGATGGAATTCCCATTTAAAAAAAATACTAAAATTCACTTCATAAAAATAATATTGTATTTTTCAAAAAATACAATCATTTTAATGAAGTGTGTACATTTTCCTTTTATTTAAAAATACTTGATTTAAGGACCCAAGCAATGCTCATAGCCTCTATATAAATCTGTGGTACATCCATACTTTAAATAAATGGGTAGTTCTGGTTTCTCCAGCTCCCAAAAGTTATGTTAGAATTGGAAAAGGTACAGAAAAGGGCAAAAGAAATTACTAGGGCGATGGAGTGGCTGCTGTATGAGGAAAGATTACAGGCAGTCCCCGACTTACGCAGATCCGACTTACGTCGGATCCGCAGTTACGAACGGGGCTGCCCCAGAGTACACGGACTGCGGGACCTCGCGGTCCTGCCGCCCGTGTACTCTGGGGCTTTGCTCTGCGTCTCCCTGGTCTGCAGACCAGGAAGACGCAGAGCAAAGCTGCGGAGGGGCTCGGGCAGCGGGGCAGTCTAGGCGCTCCTGGGGT